TGGTGGCTCATGCCTATAATCCCAGCACTTTGGGAAGGCAAGGCGGATGGATCGCTTGAGTCCAGGAGTTCAAGACCAGTCTGAGCAACATGGTGAAACCCCATCTCTACAAAAAGATACAAAAATTAGCCAGGTGTGATGGCATAGGCCTGTAATCCCAGCTACTAGGAAGACTGAGGTGGGAGGATAGCCAGAGCCTGGGAGGTCGAGGCTGCAGTGAGCCGGGACTGTGCCACTACACGCCAGCCTCTGTGACAGAGCAAGACCCTGTCTCAAAAAAAAAATAGTAATAATAATATTCTGAGGCCTCCCAATTATCTTTGCATTACTGAAATGCAATCCTTAAATAAAAATAAACCTCCATTAAATACAACAGCTGTAGCAGGACATCTATTTAATACAACCTATTACACTAAAAACAAGCTACCTTGCTATCACTCCAAAAAAATGCTCCCAAGTCTAAAGACTTGTGGGTCTCACTTTATAACAGGGCATCAGTCTTAACAGTCATACCCTTTAGAATAGGAGTGAAGTTCATCTTATACCTGGCCTATGAAGCTGTATGTGACTCCCAAAGCAAATATGCTAAACCATCTGATCACACTAAACCACCTGCTGGAAGAAAGATCTAGGAACAGAACTAAACATAATGGACTTGGGCCTATGATAAACAAACAACTTTCTGACAGTGACAGCTGTGAATCCTTGAATTGCTTCCTAAGAAAGCTACTGAATCCTGGGGGCAGTTTTTGAGACTCTGGTTTCAGTGTGCTTCCTCCTTGACCTCTAGGGTGAGGACTCTAGAGTGAAATGAGGCTATTAACCTTAAGACGTACCCCAGTGAATCCCTGGCCCCAAAGCAGACACCAATACCACGTTAGATGGTGACAACTGGTGCTAAGAAACCACAGGAATGATGAATTTTCCATTTCCCAGATTTTTTTTTAAGGGTTTAGCATTTGAAGTAGTGTAAGGCCCTAGCCTTCGGACTCTCATAGGGACTACTTTTAATGGGAAGAACCAGAAGAGTCACAGACCGCTCTGCGGGGCTCTGTGGGACCTGCCATCGTTGACGGCTCCCGGTGTCTTATCTCCTGCGTCCCTCTCGCTGGACTCTTCGCTGACCGTAGAGTCAGCATCTGAGGGAGAAACTCTGCAGACACAAAATGAATTGCAAACGTTAGAAACAAGAAAGAATGAAAAGGAAAAAGTCACATTAATTTATGTGTGGAAGTCAGGCTTCCAGGCAAAACCAGCAGAAATGAAACAGTCCAAAAAATTATTCCATAGCACAGCGTCTTCAAGGATCACATTAACACCACAGTCACCTCCTGAAGACAGATTAATGCGGCTTACTAAATGGCTCAGCAGGCTGCATTTCAACAAATGCTAGACAAGTAAGTGCCAGATGGGAAGAAGGTCCCACAGCTACCAGGGCTGAAGGTCCAGTCCCTGGCCCCCAGTCATTTCTGGACCAGCAGTCTGGGTTCAGCATGAGTTGGATCAAAGAGGACTGGGGTTCAGGATTGACTAGGTCTGCAGAATCCTCAGGATGCCAGGGTAGCTCTGCAGTCACCCCAAATAACTCCAGATCTTTGGAAGGTGCTTACACTGAGATTTGATTCTATATATAAAAAGCAAAGGTATCGTGGCACCCAGCTTGCACCAGGGAAAATTCCTTCATCAGTTGGCTCCGATTCCTTAGGCTCCCTGGCTTCAATGACAATGTGGAATGCCAAGACATTCTGGTGCTTTAGCATCCCAGAAAGATGCTAAAACATTGTATTAACCATGCAGACCACTGAGCTGTCATGACTAAATGTCAACGACAAGGCTACCAGGCAAGAAAAAAAAAAAAAAAAACACTTAGCAAAATTTTACTTGCATATGAAATAATCTTCAATGATTCCATTTATTCTTAGCCTGCAAAATAATCAAATAGCATCTCTCTATATAACTCATTTTCTTTTGTAAAGATCATGTTCTGACAT